TATTCACCACCCTGACAGAGAAGCATCAGAGAATAGTAGCAATGGTCCCCAAGTGGGTAAATTCCTTAACTCTACCCAGAAGAACCAAAATTGGCAGGAAAAGTCTCAATGACTGACAAACTCGAGCCTTTATTCAAATAAAGGCATACAAACTCTGATGGCTGACAAAGTTTACTCTTTCCATTGATTGGTCAGTTCAATAACATGAAAAGGGGGAGAAGCTAATGCTACAAGACAAAAAGCACATAAACAAACCAATAACAGGGGTGGGGGAACTCCAGGCCTCGAGGGCCGGTGTCCTGCAGGTTTAAGATGTTTCCTTAATCCAACACAGCTGGTTTAAATGCTAAATTAGCTCCTCAACATGTCTTGAAGTTCTCCAGAGGCCTGATAATGAACTAATCATTTGACTCAGGTGTGCTGACCCAGCGTGAGATCTAAAACCCGCAGGACACCGGCCCTTGAAGCCTCGATTTGGCCAAGCCTGCAGTAAATTTTTTGAACAGCTGAACACCTGAAGAGGGCCCTCAAGACATCCCATAAATACTGATGAAACAATTTTGTTGGGGTGAATTGTCATAAATTTCTCCTGTCTGTTATGATGGTAAAAAAAATAGATAAATAAAAGTTTTGATGAGAAGGTTGGTGGTTTGATCCCTGGCTCCTCCAGTCTGCATGTCAAGTATCCTTCGGAGTGTGGATGTGTGTGAATGTACTTAGAAAACACTATGTATAGAGAAAGTGCTTGTGAGAATGGGTGTGATTGGGTGAATGTGGCATGTTATATAGAGTGCTTTGAGTACTCCGGGAGAGTAGAAAAGCGCTATATAAGAATCAGTCCATTTAACTTACTTTCCACCCCACATAACTTCAAATCCGATGTGTTTAATAACAACTGGATAGAGATGTGTTATGTCCAAGTTGGACTCAAATCCTTATTTTTCTTGCAATTATAACATAGAGATTGACATACAAAGCGCCAGTTTGCAGTACTCCATCTCTCACACAGTCATACACACACAAGCTATTAAGAGATTAGATCTGAGCTGCTGGTCAACAACTCTGACTCTGACA